AGTAAGATGGAACGTGTAGGTTGAGCAACAACAACAGCAGCAGCACCAGCAATAATAATAATATTCACAATTCAAAATATGAAAAAATTTTAGTGTAGGCCTGACGCCTCAAAACCTTTGGATTTAGACTACTTCAGATTTAATGGTTTGTGGATAAGGAGTGTTCAACATTTATAATCTTTGCAGGTATTTTCTAGTCTGAAATCCTCTCAAATCCCCAACACTTCTGGTCCCAAGCATATTGGCTAACGGATCGTTAACTTGCATTAGCTCATGTATTCCTCACAAATACTAAAAGGGAGTGACTCTTATCACCCTGTTTATAGTGAAGAGGCAGAAACACGGGCAGATGGAACTTGCCCAGGCACACCGCTCATGCGTGCTACAGCTGGGTCCACACTCTAGACACACTCATAACCACAATCTGTCCTTGGCTTGGAGCCTCAGCTTTGTTTTGGGCGGCAATGAATCTTCTACCCTCTTGTCTGCACTGGCATTTCATGGGGAAGCTGGTTATCATGTAGGCTAGAGTCTGCATTAGCATCCACATATACAGGTGCTGTGGGTTTGAGAGAAAAGGCAAGACAAGGAAGGGTCAGTAAGAAGAAAAGAGAGAAGCTCATTAGATCCACCAAAGAGATGTATGATGTGTTTAAGGACACTGAGGAAGAAGCCTCACATATCAAGATCTTCCTGGAGGAAGAAGCTCTGAAGCCAGGTCATTCAAGCAAAGGAGAGGGTGCCAGTCAGCCTTGGCTCACCTCCTCTCTCCCAGTGAACCTTGCATGTGGTAAATACCACCGCTCTCCTGGTAGGTTCTACTTTTTACTGTCAGCTGATGGCTGGCTGATCACTTTCTTCCTGCCTCCTTCATTCAGACCCCCTGCTGGTTTCCTCAGGAGCTGAAGCAGCCAGGAAGTGAGAAGAGCCCCCTGGAGACCTGCAGATGTCGTCTTGGGCTTTGCTCACAGGCAGGAAGGGGTTTTGGATGCAACAGAATCTTTTGCAAAATGGCCCTGTTCCTGAATGCCAGCATGGGGCAACTGTGGCTAAGTGATCCGGTTGGAGAAGGCCACGCCTATTCCTCCAGCTGGGTCTGGAAGGAGAAAGGAGGCAGGAAGGAGCTGTGGAGCCTTGGAAGCACAAGAAAGGCCAAAGCAACAGCTGGGTGTGAAGAACCCCCCACAGCCTGGCAAGGCTGTGGAGCCGCCTCTGCCAACAGTGCTTCCTACAGCCCTGGCCTCTATTTTCTTCCTCAGCAGGGAGAAAAAGGTGTGGAAGTGGGTGGCTCTCAGGAGAGTGGCAGTTTCGAAGTCAAGAGTTGTTTCTGCTGTCTGCCCGGAGGTAGAGCTGGGTCCCACAGGAATGAATTTGTGGTTCCGGTAAGGGGAGCGATGTTGACATGGAATTCTTGGATTGGCCTCATGTCCTTAAAGGCTGCTGCCAAGCCTAAGTGGGAAGGGAAGTTCAGCAGAGAACTATGTGCTGAGTCTCCCCGCCCCCAACACCCACACAGACTTGGCCTCTGGTCCCCATCAGCACATGCCTTAGGCCCCCTAACCAAAGATCAATCACGAGGGAATTTGGCTGGCAGGGTCCTGAGTTCATGGGGCATAAAGTTTGAATGAGGGGGTGTCTCTCCATAAGGCCAGTCTGAGCTCAGGGCCTTGTGGCTTCTCAAACTTCCTTACCAAAGAGGAGAGAGAAAGAAGACCAAGGAGAACCAATTCAGCTCCAAAAAGGCATCCCCAAAGCCAAAGATCCCATATTTGAGTTGATACTTAGTGTGAGGCAGGAGGAAGCCTGGGGTGTCCTCTTCCCAGCTCGATTCCATGGTAGGAAATCAAGCAAGGTTCCCACATATCTGTCACAGAAAGCTGAAAGTCATCTGCACTCTTCCTACCAGCCACCAGCTCTGGATAACTTGACCTTAGACAGCTTGCTTAGCTTTTCTGTCTTGGTTCCTTTGTCTGTCAAACAAACTAAAAAATGTCCACATAACCAGGTTCTTCAAAGGACTAAATATGAACATGAACTTAGAGAGCTGACTGAGGCTTGGCTTAGCTTGATAAACTGCAGTGTTCCCTATTTCCACCAGGATCTGTCAGGAGATATGCGTTCTTTCTTGGGGCTTTTTTGACTACAAAGACCTAAACTATGAAGACCTAACTAACTACCGCTAAGACGCTCAGCAGAAGTTGGGGTAGAGAAGTGGCATGCTAGGTTTACTGCAAGGGTTCAGCTGAGCTCAGAGCGGAGCAGGAGGTGGAGCCGAGCTTCCGCTGAGCTCGAAGTCCAGAGCCCAAATTTGGTTCTCTGTCCTTTGCACCATCCCAATCAACACAGTTACTAATGATGGTCAGGACATTACATTTGCATCCTGAAGCTGGAAAACCGAGTTGTCTCCTTTTTTCTGAGACAGGATCTTACTGTGTCGTCCAGACTGTCCTCAAATTCATAATCTTCCTGCCTCAGCCTCCCCAGTGGTGGGATGATGGGCACCACCATGCCTGGCTCCTGAATTTTAATTTCTATTACCGTTGTTGTTGACAGGGTCTCTTGGAGCCCATGCAGGCATAAACTAACTAACCTGTTAAGTACCTGAGGCTGGCTTTGGACTCCTGTCTCTATCTTTCAAGTGCTGGGATTACAGATTTCTGCCACTATGTGCAGTTCAGGGTGTGTGTGTGTGTGTGTGTGTGTGTGTGTGTGTGTGTGTGTGTGTGTGTGTTTTGGATTGCACGAATGTGTACAGAGCACCCATGTGTATCACACTTGTACACACATGCACATGTGGAGGTCAGAGGTCAAGGTAGGGTCATCTTCAGTGACTCTCCACCTTGTTTTTTGAGACTAGGTCTCTCCCTGAACCTGGGAGCTTGCTGACTGGCTAGACCCGTTGGTCAGTGCCACCAGGTATCTACTCTTTTCATCCCCAGTGCTGGGACTGCAAGCACTTGCCATGGCTCTTATGTGGGTGCTGGGGATCAAACTCAGGTCCTTATATGTCTGTGGCAAGGACTTTACCTACATAGCCATTTCCCCAGCCCTCATATAATTTTTAAAATTTAAATTTGAACAAATTAATGAATTCAGTCAGTTGAAATGATTATTAACATGAAAATTAAATAGACACATGTGGCTGCATTTTTAAAAATTAAACTGAATTTTTAAAAATGTATGTGTATTTTGCCTGCATGGATGCATGCGCACCATGTACAAACCTGGTGTCCGCTGAAGTTGGAAGAGGGCATCAGATCTCTTGGAACTGGAGCAATGGCTGTGTCTACTATGTAGGCTGTGTAGACTGTGTCTACTGTGTAGGCTGTGTCTACTAACTGTGTAGGCTGTGTGTACTGTGTAGGCTGCATCTACTAACTGTGTAGACGGTGTCTACTAACTGTGTAGGCGGTGTCTACTAACTGTGTAGGCGGTGTCTACTAACCGTGTAGGCTGCTTCTACTATGTAGGCTGCGTCTACTAACTAGTAAGGCTGTGTCTACTAACTGTGTAGGCTGTGTGTGTAGGCTGTGTCTACTAACTGCATCTACTAACTGTGTAGGCTGCGTCTACTAACTAGGTAGGCTGTATCTACTGTGTGGTCTGTGTCTAATAACTATGTAGGCTGTGTCTACTGTGTAGGCGGCATCTACTGTGTAGTGCTCCCAAGCCCTGAGTCAGCCCAGAGCTGCTGTTCTGTGGAGCCCAGTTGTGGGTCTTTCCTTCCCCCCCTCTGCCAGTGCCAACCTCCTGCACAGTCCATGGCACATCACATGCACAGCCTCGCTCACAGTAGGCCTGCTGCTGAACACTGGTGCTGGGTGTTGAGTCTAAATCCTCGAGTGTGACTTGATTTACTTCACTCAGCTCTTCATGTCAGGCTGAAAATGAAAGGCTGTGCTTTGATGAAGCTCTTCAATGGGGGGGGGGGGGGGGGGGGGTAATTGTCAGACCACGGGCTGATGGGGCTTCATGCTCTCCAAACAGAACTTGGTGGGAACCCCCTAGGAGGCCGGCTGAGGCCCATGTCACTAGGTCCCTTTGCCTCAGCATGGCAGTGACCCAGGGGTTGTCCTCCACACTTTGACTGGCCCAGAGCTGCAGGGTTAGCTAGGGATTAGGCAAACAACTGTGCTCCCCACCTCTGGCTTCTATCGTGATTCCGGCCTTGTTTGGGAGGAAAGCTCCAAAATGCTGTGCTAGATAAACAGCGCGAGAGGCAGCAGGTGGGTCTCCAAGGGTGCCCCACTCATTCCCACTTGACTGGGGCGCTCCTGTCACAGCTAGCTGATGAAAAGCCACTGGAAACACGGGGTTAAAAAGGAATGTTTTGTTTTCCTCCAATTCCTGGAGGCACCCAGATGCAGCTCCATACTGGCAGAGAACAATGGCAGACCTGGGGACTGTGTCATCGTGGGCTGCTGCCTTTGCCCTGTTGATTGAGCTTGACAAGGCTTCCCGCTCCAGCAACTGACCAGTGCTAGCAAACAGCTGGCATGCCCAGTCTTTGTTTTCGGGCCTTTTAATTGGGTTGCCCGATTCTTGGAATAAATGGAATCGATGAGTTGTTTAACGTATTAATCGAGCATCGGAGTTATTAAAGGGACAGCTACCTGCTGTCGTGACTGTGCATGAGTTTGTGGAAGGCTCACACAGGGTGCTAATCTGAGGCAGGAGGGATAATTTGGACTTCTCATGGCTAGTGTGAGCATGTAGTACCTGCGAAGAGAACGCCAGGCCCAAAGCAGGAGGAGACTGCAGGCTCCCTCCCGGTTTCCAGGACAGCCCACTCCCTGAGCCCGAATCTATTCGTCATACCTCAGCCTGAGGGAATGGTCAGGCTAATGACTAAAACTTCCTATTGTACACAGAATCAGATCCAAATTCTGATCTGAAAGAGCCCCTGTTTTAGCCCACCCAGACCCTGTCTCCACGTTCCTGCTCGCCTCACCCACAGCCAATGTGCCCTCTGACTGCTCTTCTACACCAGGCCCCCTTACCTCAAGGCGCTCCCTACTGGAATGTTCTCCCCGATTTTTTACATGGTCAGCTCTTGTTATTCAGGACTCATCTTCACATTTCCTTGTCATCCAGTCTCAGTTATGTCCTCCTCTCCTCTTGATGGTATGCAACTGGCTTTATTTCCTTCATGGTTCCCAAGGCTCACTACCTGACATTCTCTGGGTGGAGGAGGGATGGTTTACTTATTTGTTAGAACAGCCTCCTTAAAAAAAAAAAAAAGAAAGAAAGAAAGAAAGAAAGAAAGAAAGAAAGAAAGAAAGAAAGAAAGAAAGAAAGAAAAAGAAAAAAAACCTGAGACGTTATCAGTTTGCCTTGTATGTTTTCAACTCTCCACAATCTTCTGAATGCACAGTTGGGTCCTTAGTTATTGTTTGACCAATGAGTGGTTGACGTAAGGAGGGAATGGGGTGGTGTTTAGAGTAGCAGTTGGCAAAGGTTGCATTGTGTGTTTTACTGTTTGACGTCGATTTTTTACTTTGGAATAGACTAAGCAATGAGCCCTCCGTCTTCTCTACCGCAGGCTGTAGACCTTGGGGTCCCTGAGGTCCTTTAATGGAAAATGATTACTCTATTGATTGCCGGTTGCATATGATTATTTAGAAGTGCACCGATTCGCTGTTTAAAATGTATACTTTGAAGTCCTTACTCTCTGGTGAGAGCAAAGCCCTGTTTAGTCCCAGGCTCCCTCTCGGGTGTCTAGCTGCTCCTTGAACTTCAGCATGAGGACATTTGGCAGGCTCCTCCCACATAGCGAGTCAGCCACAGAGTTCAGCACCTTCTGTGCTTTCCCCCAATTATTCCTTCTCTCTGCCCCCTGCCCCCCTGTTCCACCTAGCCATGCTTAGAGAGAAAAAGCAAGCCGCCCGGGGTGTGAGCCTCACTGCCCATTTCCCCTTTTCCATCCATGTGGAGTCCGCTGATGCTCCATGCCAGCGGGATCTGTCCAAAACACCTCCACTCCATCCATCTCCCCCTTCTACCATCTCCCCGCTCCCTTTGGCCGGTTATCAAGATTGCTAACAGACTTCATACTAGATGCTACGCCCCCCTTCTCTGGTCTTCAATCTGTTCTCCATTCCACAAACCCCACAAATGGGTCACATCATGTTTTATACCTGAATTGGAGTTAAAGCTCCTTAGTATGGCTTCAGACCTTAACATTGCTTACTTCACAGGCAGAACTATCTATGATATCTATGACTGTGGCCGAGGAGGGGAACATAGAGGCAACCCTGGCAGCGTTCACAGAGCGCTGGCTGGCTGGCCCTTCCTTATTTGTGCCTCTCGGGCACGCTGAGCAGGGAGACACTTGTGTCCCCCCCTCCCCTTTTCAAACATATGATGTTTTATCAACAAGGCAGCCTTGCAGACCTGGAAATCATGTGAATGGGGCGGGTAGCCTCTCATGCCGTGTGACCCAGCTCTTTCTCAGGTTTTCATATAACGTGCCTATGCCTTTGTGTTTACTGACAAACACAGCAGGGATTCCAGCACTTTGTGCCCTTGTGTAGATGCTACTTTCATGTGTGTGGTTAAGAGTCAAAAAGTTTTACATACTTCCGCGCAAAAAATGACTTTGTCTCTGCCCTTCCCTCCTTCTCCAAACCCACACAACGCAAATTTATGATTTCTCAGGGGGGTGGGGTGGTAGTGGTGGTGGTGGTGGTGGTGGTGGTGGTGGTGGTGGTGTGTGTGTGTGTGTGTGTGTGTGTGTGTGTGTTGGGGTTTTAAGAAATTAAGAAATTTTTTATTCATTTTTACATACTAATCGCGGATCCTCCTCTTCCCTCCTCCCACCCCTCCAGCCTTCCCCCATCCACCCACCCCTACTCCCTTCTACAAGAAGGTAAGGCCTCCCATGGAGAGTCAGCAGAGCCTGGTACATTCAGTAGAGACAGGTCCAAGCCTCTCCCCCTGCCTCAAGGCTGTGCAAGGTGTCCCACCATAGGTCGTGGGCTCCAAAATGCCAGCTTATGTACCAGGGATGGATCCTGACCCTACTGCCAGGGGGTCCTTTAAGCAGATCAAGGTACACAACTGTCTTGCTTATGCAGAGGGCCTAGTGGAGTCCTGTAGAGGACACAGGTATTGGTCTAAATTTCATTAGTTCCCATTAGTTTGGGTTGGTTGTTTCTGTAGGTTTCCCCATCATGATCTTGATGCCCCTTGCTCGTAAAATCCCTCTTTGAGTGGGCTCCTGGAAATGCAAATCAAAATGACCCTGAGATACCATCTTATACATGTCAGAATGGCTAAAATCAAAAACACCAAACACAGAAGACAGCTTATGTTAGAGAGGATGTAGAGCAAGGGGAACACTCCTCCACTGTTGGTGGGAGTGCAAACTCATACAGCCACTTTGGAAATCAGTATGGAGGTTTCTCAGAAAATTGGGAATCAATCTTCCTCAAGACCCAACTATATATATATAAACACACAGAGGCATATACCCAAAGAACGCTCAATCATATCACATGGACACATGCTCAACTATGTTTGTTGGGTTTTGAACCCATAGCTCTATATACCCTAGACAAGCACTTTAACCACTGAGCTACAGCTACCTCCTCCACCCACTACCCTTTTTTGCTGTGGGATGTCTTTCTGTACACTGTGAATATGCGTTGCTCTGACTGGTTGATAAATAAAGTCATTTGGCCTATGACAGGGTAGGACAGAGCCAGGTGGGAAAATCCAAGGGAGATAGAGAAAGGAGTAAGGAGAGGGAGGGGAGACGCCATTCCACCGTCCAGAGAGCAGCATGTAATGGCACACAGGTAAAGCCACAGAACATAGATTAATAGTTATGGGTTAATTTAAGATAAAGAGCTATCTAGCAAGAGGCCTGCCATAGACTATACAGTTTGTAAGTAATATAAGCCTCTGTGTGTTTACTTGTCTGAGCAGCTGCGGAACTGGGTGGGACACAGGAAAACTTCCATTTTTTTTTTTTAAAGATGGGCCTTACTGTGTTATTCAGAATGAACTCATTCAGTAGACCAAGTAGCCCTTGAACTTCTCATCCTCTTGACTCAGTGTCCTGAGTAGCTGGGATGGCAGACCTGAGCCACTAGGCCCAGCAGTGAATTCCTGGTTTAAAGCATCATCATCATCTTTTGGTTTTGTGACCTGCCACACCATGCTAACACACGTATCCAAGCACCCTCCCTCACACATCCCTGATTGCATCCCCCTATTGAGTCTTTCTAGCCAGACAGCATGTTCATAGCGGTGTCACTGAACAAAATTAAAAACAACAAACAAACAAAAAACTTTTCATGCATTTTTGTTGTGGTTATTGCCCCTGGAATTATTCTCTAACTTTTAAAGCCAGCTTTATTTTTTTTTTTTGTGTGTGTGTACTTTCTTCTAATTCAACCCCAACCATGTTTACAGAGCATAAATACTTCCTTAGTACTTTCAAATAGAATTAATATTCTGCCAGTTCCACCTCCCCACTCTCTCTGGGGGCGGGTCTTCTAATTGGCCAATGTGGATCAGTGGTCTTATGCCAAGTGTACAACTATCGTCCAGGATCCTCTCACTGTCACCCTGGGCTCCTAGCCCTTTCTCTTAGAGACATCTTTTTTCTGAGTCATGCATTCTCTTTCTCTTTTTTAGATCAACCTCCTATTTTGGAGAGTAGGAAAGGAGACATGGGGAGGTCCCTTTTTAACATTATCAACCATGTTTAATCCATTTTTAACCCACTGTTTTGTTTTTGACCAGAAACGCTTTGGTCTCCTGTCAGAAATGAAACACTTGAAGCTCCAGATGATGAAACAAATTGGGAACTCCTGAGCTGGTGCAGGAGGGAAGAGTACCTTGCCCCTGTCCCAGCAGGTATCATTGAGTCTTTGTGGTTTTTGTTTGTTTGTTTGTTTGTTTGTTTGTTTGTTTTTCATTTCCATTTAATTCATTTTCCCCTGGTCTCAATTATTTCTTTTCATTTACTGATTCTGGTTTTGGCTCTTCTTGTTTATTCACGACACTGGGGTGTGTCATTAAGATCTCTTTGATGGCTTTAATGAGGGGACTTAGAGCTATACACTTCTGTCCTAGACTGCTTTTAGTGTGTCTCACAGGTCTTGTGTGGTTCACCATATTTGGTGTGCATAGGTTTAGCTCTGTAATGTTCTCTTGATGAACTGTTCATCTTTTCGAACTAGTTTTGGTCTGGGGCCAGGTTTTTGTTTGTTTGTTTTTCTTTAGATATTAGAACTTGGACACCTGCTTGTTTTCTACCTCATTTTGCTTGGGATACCTTTGCCCTACTTCACCTGAGGCAGTGATTTTCTTTTACGATGAGGTGCATTTCTAGGAGGCAATGAAGAGATCCCATTTTTTAATACATTCTGAGTGTCTGTGCCTTTCTGTTAGTGGACTGAGACCCTTCGTGTTCAGAGTCATTCTTGAAAGCCATGCACTAATTCCTGCCATTTCTATTGATTTCATATGTTTGGTGTTTCCCACTTCTCTCTTGCTTGAATCATTCAAGTATGGCTTATTATTTTCTGTGGCCTCATGGATGTGGTTCTTTCTTCAAATCTGAAGAAGTCTGTAGAGCTGGCTTGATGGTCATGAGTTCCTTTAACTTATTTTATTTTATTTGGTCATGGGACATTTTTATTTCTTTCTAATATGACACATACCTTTTATGGTACAGTAGTCAGGGTTGGCAGTTGTCTTTCTAGACTTGAAATACACAATTCCAAACTTTCCCGGCCTTTAGAATCTGCTGTTGTTCTGATGGGTTTGCCTTTAGATGTGGCTTGATCCTTTCCCTTACTACTTTCAACATTCTTTCTTTGTTCTGTATATTCAGTGGTTTAATCACAATGTAACTTAGCGATTCCTTCTCTAACTTTGTCTTTTTAGTATTTTAAATGCTACCTGTATTTGGATTGACATTCATTTCCCTAAGTTTTAAAACTTTCTGCTATGATTTTGTTCTAATTGGCTTTTAGTTTTTTACAATGAACTTCTCCTGTGCTGTGCCTCTTAGTCTTAGATGTTGCCTTTTTGTTGTGTCTCACATGTTGACCTGCCTTCCCATACCTTCTTATTAATTTATCTTTGTCTTTGTCGGAATGCTCCAGTTCTCCCACTTTGACTTCAAGCTCAGATACTCTGTCCTCTCATTAACTATGGAACCTATTATTTGATTTATTGTGGTTTTCCTTTTCCAGTGTTTCAGTCTGATCTTCCTTTGGTATTTATTTTTTATGTCTTTACTAGTTTTTCTTTCATCTCTCTCTCTCTTTTAAAAGAATAATTTTTTTATTTTATTATGTATATGAGTGCTCTGCCTGCACCATGTGCACCATGACCAGGTCTTGTACCCACAGAAATCAGAAGAGGGCATCAGATCCCCTGGGACTGGAGTTACAGATGATTGTGAGCTGTCATGTGAGTGCTGGGAATTGAACCCTTGGTCCTCTGCCAGATCAGCAAGTGTTCTTAAATGCTGAGTCATCTCTCCATCCCTTTCTTATGCATCTTGAATTGTCTTCCTTATTTAATTCTGCAGTTTTGGTTGTTTTTGCTTGCTTGTTTGATTTTAATTTATATTCTCCTGGGATTCATTCAGGAGTTTGTTTTGGTCTTTTTCTTCATCTTTTTTCAGTTTTTAAAAACATGTTTATAATCATTCTTCTGGAACTTTGTGTAATTCACTCTTAGTGGAGGCCGTTGCTACAGGCTCATAATTTTTGGAGGATTATGTTACCTTGGAGTTTCATGTTCTTAGGTTGCTGCACTGGTATTTATGCACTGGGGTTAGGTCATTGCTTAGGTTTTTGATCAGCTGTCTGCTTTCAGTTTATAGTTCAGAATACAGTCCAGGTGCCCATGGTACTGGTGTGCCCTCTATCTAACTCTCAGAGTAGAATATTAACTATGGAGTAACCACAGCTGCCGGAAATACCATCTATACAAATTTCCTCCTAGCCAATCAACAACGATGACAAATTTCCTCCTAGCCAATCAACAATGATGACAAATTTCCTCCTAGCCAATCAACAACGATGACAAATTTCCTCCTAGCCAATCAACAACGATGACAAATTTCCTCCTAGCCAATCAGCAACGGTGGCGCTTTGGCTTATTAACTGTTGTGCGATCAACAAACAAGGGTATTGCATGAGTTCCTCGAGTCATTGCTGGGTTAAAATACCTCACAAAAGCAATTTGCTGAAGAAAGTGTTTGTTTTTGGCTCACAGCTTGAGGTTATAATCCATCATGGGAGGTGTGGGGGGAGTTACCGCATCAAGAGCTTGAGGCAGCTGGTCACGTTATAAAGGTTTCTAATCTGTCACCTCACCCAGAAGTCGCCACCTCACCCAGAATGTTTCTGGAATGAACACGTTGGGTCCAATTCTGAAGGACATGGTATATTTCTTCCATTTACATTTTTTTTCCATCCTCCCAAACCCAGATCAACTGTAGCTGCTGACAGGATTTCTTCCTCTACAGCTTCATGCTTCTTGTCACCTTAGGGGACAAACATTTGTACCTGAAAAGGCTCAAAAACTGTTCCATAGGCAGGCCCTACTTTGGGTCCTAAATCACAGCTCACTCTCCCAACACTTGTTTCCATGAGACACACAGTAGTATAATCAGAACACTTTTTTTTTTTTTTTTTTTTATGTAAAGAATGCCTTACCCAAGCAAAGGCAATGAAGTGTTTATGACTCCCTGCCCCCACCCTATTTTTTAGGATAACTCATGGAAATTTGATACAACAAAGAATTTATTTTTACTAGGTCAAGTCTGCACGTTGGACACTGCTTGCTTGCTAGTCATTAAGTCTGGACATCTCAACTTGGGAAAAAACACTCTTTGATTAATAAAAACAACCTGACACAGATCCCTTCAGTCAGGTGACTGTATTATGGTAAAACTTAATGTAGCAAACACACAAACACAGCTCCAGTGCCCTCCCAGAACCCAAACCTACCGCAGCTAAAAATAGCCCTTGGCTTTTCCTTAAGACTCAAAACGAGGAATGCATTTCTTGTTTACCTCTTGGTGCACTCTGCCCAGGGACTGAGACTGTGCATGCCCTCACTTGTACACTCTGGAGCAAACTCTGCTCAGCTGACTACAAACCTGACAGTCCAATGTAAGAAGAAGCAAGCTCCTTGCTTGCCCGGGGTCCTTGAATAGGCTGCATCGTCGTCCTAGGTGCTCACTGGAGGGAGCCACTCCTCAGAGGAGGAGGCCTCTGGCCAGTTTCTGCATCCTATAACTATGGAGGTAGGTGCCTTGTGATTTAATCCTTTCCATCTATGAGGGTGCTTTACCCCACTTCATAGATTTTTTTTTTAATGGATTCTTCAGAAGGTAAGAGTATGCCCCTTGTCCCCTGAGACAGTGTGAGACAGCATTTCAAACCCAGTTCAGCCTTCATGAACATCACACCAAGCTACCCTGCAGTAGTAGTAGTTCCTGGAACCCTGTTCCATTTCTTAACAAACCTGGTCTATAGGTTATGACCATAGCTCTAATTACTTTAAAGGCATTTTTGTTTTTTGTTTTTGAAGACTGGGTTTCTCTGTGTGTAGCTCTGGCTTCCCTGTAGACTCACTCTGTAGACCAGGCTGGCTTCGAACACACAGAGATTCACCTGTCTCTGCCTCCTGAGTGCTGGGATTAAAGGAGTGTGCCACCACTGCCCAGCTTTTAAAGGCATTTTTATATTTCCTCTGACAATGTCTCCTTTCACAGTAGCTCTAGATGTAGGTTTAGATTCTAGATGGCAAAGGGCACCAGCTAGTGATCATGGCAAAACTGCCACACACTTCAGTTCTCTCATCTGCAAGATGGAGCAAAGGACACTCCCCTCAGTGGAGGGCTGCCCGCATGCAATGATGCTCAGCTGCTACCTCACAGGTGAGTGATTCTCACTCCCATGCCATCCTTGCTGTCCTCATCCCAATTCCCCCATCTGCCTGCCTTCCTTTGAGGCTCAGCAGAGGCATTCCTTGAGAGAAAGCTTTCCCTGCCTTCTGGAGGGGTCTCCCTCCACTGCTGCAGCTCTGTGGCTGCCTGACAATCCTTGACAATAAGTTTTGCCGGTCAGGGACGACCATTCTTCCCAGTACACAGTGGATCTCGTAAATATTATGAATGGATGAATCTTCCAGCAGGAGAGGTGATGGGCCACCCTCAGTTCAAAGGTGTGCAGGTGTTAGCAGACATTCTAGGGGCGTGAATGCTGTCACACACTAGCCCACCTCTACCTTGGGCTGAAGTAGGTTAGTTCCCTACCTACATACTGAAATTTCTTAAATAAGACTATGTCTGTTTCCTTTTGTTATTGTTGTTCTTTTGTTTTTGCATTTTTTGAGACATCGTTTCTCTGTGTAGCAACCCCGGGCTGTCCTGGAACTCGCTTTGTAGACCAGGCCTCCAACTCACAGAGATCTGCCCATCTCTGCCTCCCGAGTGCGGGAATTAAAGGCGGGCACCACCACGCCCTGATGTCTGTTTCCTTTTTGTTTTGTTTTTTTTTTCTTCAAGATTTTATTTAAGATTTATTTATTCATGTGTAAAAATTTATGTATATGTGTCTGAGTTCCTATCTACCACATTCATGCAGGTGCCCTCAGATGCCAGCAGACGGTATCAGATCCCCTAGAACTGGAGTTATGGGTAGTTATGAGTCATTTGGCATGGGTGCTAGGAACCAAACCTAGGTCCTCTGCAAGAAACAGTAAGCACGCTTGACCCCTGAGCCACCTCAGTCCCCACCCCAAACTGGATTTTGGTTTAGCGTACACAGACCCCACCCCAGACATTTTCAGAATTGTTAGTTTGGTGCCTGCTGAGCTCTTCCTGTTCAAAAGGCTGCAGTAGTAGGTCCAGTAGCACCCACACCCCCAGATCCAGGAGCATCCAGGCCCCAGGAGGAAGACCCCAGGTAGCTTCTGCTCCTACAGGATCCACTAATCCACACCAAGACACAAAGTTTAGGCACAAAACCAAATGAGTTTTATTCCTTCCACAGCATACACAACTCCTCACCTGGTGGCATCCTGTTAGAAAAGTAGGTCATGTATAAAGTCTGCCTGACTGGCATTTCTTCAGCAAGGCATAAACCCTCTGTTAGTATTTTGAGTGTGGGGATACAAAGAAGAAATCCTGTGAACATTGCTCCCCCAAAAAAAACCCTTGCAGGGGAGTCCAGCAAGGTAAAGCTTCGTGTTTTCAGATTCCTGCATGAAGACAGAGGCTCCTGGAGGTTGGGGCTTGAGCCTCCAGGATGCACCAAGGCACTATGCAACCTGATTTTCGGAGCCTCTGACCTGGTGCAGGAGCTGAGCCATGTAATCTTTCTGGCCAAGCTACCTTGCACTCTGGCTTTTTGCTCAACATAGCTAATGACTTTCCAGTCTCTTGGTGTCAATTAGCAAACACCTGGTATAGATTTATGTATTTTAAAAGCACAAGCAACCTCCTCCAGAGTGTGGATTTGTGAGTAGGGCATTTTGATTCATGCCTAAATGCCTTGAGGGGGGAGATTAAAGTGAATATACAAACAAACAGGCATCAAGCTTACACACACATACACACACACACACACACACACACACACATACACATACACACACATACATACACACATACACATACATGCATACACACATATACACATACATACACATACATACACACACACATACATACATACATACACATGCACATACACACACACATACACTTTTTTATTATGCTTGTTTAACTTTTTTGTTGAGGGAGAACATATATGGAGGTCAGAGGACAGCGGTCAGTTCTCTCCATTCACTGTGGGTCCCAGGGCTCGAACTTGGATTGTCAGGCTTGGCAGCAAGTGCGGTTACCTGCTGAGCCATCTCATCAGCCCCAGGCATTGTACTTTATGCACAGACCATTTTAAAACAGATGTCACCCGTGCAGAACTGTATAAATACAAAGACGAAAGGGGAAGAAAGAGTCCCTAACCCTGCAGATTCTGTCCAGGAATGGCAACCTCCTCCCACACAATGTTTCTGGAAGATATCTGTGTACATTATGGCTGCACTGTTCTAGAAATGCAGTCCCTGACATCCTGGGACACACACTCAGCGGGCAAAGCTGGTGATAAACTCACCATAAACAGATCACCTAATGTCTGGTGGTGGGAATAACTATGGGAAAAAATCAAGCTCTATCGGGCTGGAGAGATGGCTCAGAGGCTAAGAGCAGTGGCTGCTCTTCCAGAGGTCCTGAGTTCAATTCCCAGCAATCACATGGTGGCTCACAACCATCTGTAATGAGATCTGGCGCCCTCTTCTGGCCTGCAGGGACACATGCAGGCAGAACACTGTATACATAATAAATAAATAAATTTAAAAAAAAAAAATCAAGCTCTATCAACAACTAGCAGATAATGAGCCTAGCATAGCGGTTCACACCTGTAATCAAAGCACTCAGGAAGCTAAGGCAGGAGAATTGCAGGTTTGGAACCAGTCTGTGCTACATAGTGAAATCATATCTGAAACTCTTCCTGCCGCCAGCTCCCCTCAAATCAAAATACATGGAATGAAGACTCCATACATAACTTCCTGTCGGTCCCACTTAAAAGAGTACAGAGAATCAGTTATACTTAATTTTATAGATCTATCTTATTTAAACGAATACAGTATACCCAGGGCATCATTTCAGCACAGAATAACCATTAAATTATCAAGGAGCTCCTTTAAATCATCTTCTGATTAAGTCCTTGAAGCCCATTGAATTGACACTTGCCTTGCCTCCTCATTAGGCTTGCTGTATGTCAAGTGTACGGTAGGCACAAGTGGCTGGTGGCTACTTGTGTTGGGCAGCACAGGATGGCGAATGAAGAGTCAGCGGCTAGCCAGCAACTGAGGCTGAGAAGGGATGGTAAAATGCAAGCCTCATGGGTACTGAGGAAGACAGATTATCAGAACTAAAGCTGGGTGGTGGGAATAAGTGTGGTGTGACCGAGGACAGCAAGGAGCAGGTGTGGAGTTCACCTCTGCCCAGTGATGCCCAGGTCTACGGTGGCTGGCCAGTTCATTGCTTCTCAAACTGTCCGTGGCAAGGCAGCTGTTGCTTCATCCCAATCCATTGCGGATCAATATACCTGCAAAACAAAATCAAATGAGTCACTTCGAAGGGATAATGAACACATGAAATTCTGGGCCGATTTTTAAATTCCATTTATTTATCGTGGGGGAAGGGTGTGCAAGGGTAGAGGGCAGAGGGCAGCTTGCAGGAGTCCGTTCTCTCCCTTCACCAAGTATATCCCAAGGTTTGAACTCAGGTCCTCAGGATTGGCAGCAAGCACCTTTACCTTCTGAGCTGTCTTGTGGACCTTACAAGAGTTTAAAAATAATTTTATCCAGTTGTCAAAAAGTTCCTCCACCAAAGTGCTACAGCTCATCTCTGCTCCCATTCTGTGTTTGTTTTGTAGCAGGCTCTGAGAAGCCCTTGTGTCCCAGGGTGACCCACAGTAGCAGAGTTGAATGGGCCACAGGTCAGCGGGGAACCTGTCGAAGCCATGGGATTCCGGCTGGAAAAGAATAGAACTGCACAAGCTAACTTTGTTTTCTTTCTTTTTTCTTTTTCTTCTCTTCTTCCTCCTCCTTCTACCTCTTTTGCATAGATTAAATACACAACTCCGGCCGCATCAGTAAACATTATCTATCACCAGTTACCAAGCACTTTTCTATCCAGTTGACTGTAAAACCAAAGACAGGGACAGCTGCGGCCTGCCCTTTTATGATCCCAACCTTCTACAGTGTCTGCAGAGCAAATAATCAACATGTGGCTGTAGAATTCTTGAGAGAGAAAAAAAAAATGCTTTGTAATCCTCAGGTGAAACACACTGTGAAATAACTCAGGATTTCTTTCCACTCACTTTCAATGCCGCAGATGAACCTGGTTTAATCTCTGCTCCGAGCCCAGCTTCAGATCCAGGCTCCCCCACTCACTAGCTTCAACTAGCCACTGTAGCTCTTTCAACTGCCATTTTCCCATGTGACAGGTGTCCCTGGACAGACGCTGTTGCTGCTGCCAGCACACAGGCAGGCCCAACAAGCATTAGTGAGGACAGAGAAGCCTGACATTTCAGGGTGGGCAGATAATTCTGAACTCTTTTCCCCCCACTGGATTATCGGGTAGCTCGGTAGCAGTTAAGCACCTGAGTGTGGGGTAGAGGCACCCAAGAGGGGCCTCACTCAAGCCCGGCCTGGAGGCTAGCTCGGGAACTGTGGGTGGTGAGAAATGACTGCTTTGAAGTCAGCAATTGCACCCAAAGTTCCTCCTGGATTTTAACACCACCCCAAACCTAATCCTAATATCAAGCTCTCTGTGTGGCCTCCACACTGGGTAAAGTCTGGGTGTTCTCCACTTCCTCGTGGTCTGGAAAGTGGAACCTCTCTTAAAGCGTGAGGTCGTTTGGTGTGGGGGCATTTGGAGAGTTGAGGGGGGGGTCACTGTCTCCTTTGACACAGCACTCCTCAGATGTAGAGCTGTTTTAAATTGTGGTGGAACACACACATAAGGTTTGCCACCTTGGCCATTTAAAAATGCCCAGTTCATTGGGAACCAAGATGGCGGTGAAAGGCAGGTTTCTTCGCCGTCACAGCCGTCAAATTGCAGAGTTTCTTATATCCTGGGAAGCTAGCCCTCCCCACCATCCTCTCTGTCTCCTAGAGTCTGGTACATTTCACTTAGCTTAAGATCCTCAACCACATTGTAGCAGGTGCCATAGTTTCCTTCCTTTTTGAGGGTAAATACTATTCCTTTGTGTCTATCTAGCCCTCGTACATCTACTCTTCCACTGGTGGTCCTTTCCACTATTGTAACGATGCGTCTATGAAAATCACCGCCGGGAGGTGGTGGTGCGCGCCTTTTATCCCAGCACTCCGGAGGCAGAGCCAGGTGGATCTCTGTGAGTTTGAGGCCAGCCTGGTCTACAGCGTGAGATCCAGGACAGGCACCAAAACTACACAGAGAAACCCTGTCTCAAAAAATCAAAAAAGAAAAGAAAAGAAAATGACCACAAATACCTCTTTCTGCTCTTTCTGGTCTGCTTTCACTTTTTTTGAGTATGTACTCAGTTCAGAAGTGGTTGGATTATATGGTAATTCTACTTTTAACTTTTGAAGGACAGCTAAACTGTTTTCCACAGTGGTTGTACCATTTTACACTCCAACTGATAGTGTACAGATTCTGATTTCTCTGCATCCCTATCAAGGCTTTTCCTTTTCTTTCTGTTTTTCCTTTCTGCTCTTTCTTTCT